AATTAGTTGATTACTTTTAGGTTATTCACTTTATTGCAATGTTTTGTGACTATATTTATTTAATTACCTTTTTTTTTTTTTGTACAACCACTTTTACATTTAATTTGCTTTTCGGCACTAAAATAGAAAAAGTTATATTCCCTTTTTTGGTTAAAATTGAATTAAATGTTTCATAAAAAATGTCTTTGCTAAATTCCATTTTTTTTAGTTGATAATATTATACTTAATTAAAATCAAAATTAAAAATAATACTTTTAAAATTTGAAAAAAAACTACTATTGCGATAGGTTTAGTATCGCGTTAATACTAAGATATACACATATATCCAGTAATTTTACGTTAGAAAATCAGATTATTAAGTATTGAAATTACCATCTCGAGCGATAACATTAATAATAACCGGGATTAAAAACGGATTTTTAAAAAAAAAATAAAATAAGTTCGAAACACTGTGATATAGCAATAAATAAAATATAAATTTAAAATCCTAATTTTATTGAAAATAACATCCATCGCGCATCAAGCGTGGTCAAAATTTACCAAACACTAGTTGTAAACGTCCACGATCACTGGTGTATGACCTTATTTAGGCTATTTTGGCAACATTCTTAACGATTTTTGTTTTATGTTAACATATACTGATGACAGTCAACATTCACCGACTGCAGTAATACACCTCAACACATACACTATAAAGAAAATATTGTAATCATTGTTTTTTTTATAATTTTTATAATAATATTATTATTATAATTGCCATCAATTATATGAGAAATATACTTTGTACTGTTTATAATTATATGTAGGTAATATACAATGTAATTTGTCAAAAAAATTAAACATTCGCAATTGTAATATTATTGTATTATATATAGCATGTATTATTACATTTTGTAATGATGACTGACAGCTTTTACAAAAACCAATCTGCTAATATTTTTATTTTTATATTTATTTATGAAATCTTCAATTTTCGTTTTTTTAACTAGGTAAGATCGAATGGTAATATTTTTTATTTTTTTTACATTAATTATAGCAATGTATTATAGAAAAATATATGTAGTTGTTTGAACTTCTTTGAGAATATTTATAAAAATAAAAATATTCGGATGTGCACTTCTAAAATTCCTCGAAAATTACGAATGAAATGATTCACATGCATTGGTCGCCCTTTTTGAATTAATTGAATTCATAGTCCATAAAGAAGGTGGGAAAATTTGAACTCGAGGAATTATATGTGTCAACTAAATAGTCTGAAAATTCAACTAATTTTTCTGATAAATGCTGAATTGACATAAGATCTTCAATAAAATAATCGTCTACTTCACATGCGGGTAGTAATAAGAGACCAAAAATTAAGTGAAGCCATTCAATTTCTGGTATAAAAAAGGTACTTTTGGGAGCAACCGGTACACGCCTTATTTAATGGTAGAAGTTTAATGTGGTTCTTGAAACTTAAAAAAAAAGAAGAAAAAAACAGAAACTAACTGTAATGTACAGTTCTAAAAAATGATGGGTTGTTCTGAAAAACAACTATAGTTTTGAACTATTACAATACGATTAAACAAGTTACGTCATAATACTTACAAAAGTAAAAAAAAAAAACAGCAATTAATTTAATAGTGCACGTCTACTTTGGATATTATCCTTCCAATTATTTTTCGTACTATGGAATACTAAATATTATATTTAATGTACATCTTTGTTGAGTATAGTTGAGTAAAAATAAATTAAAACATGGATGTTCAGTTTCACAATAGTAATAAATAAAATACGTATAAATTGACAAAAACGAACGCGATTTTTGAGAAAACCGTACACTATTATAATATTTATTTCCAATATCATTTAAAAAAAATATTTAAGTGTATATTTATTTATTTATTTCAACGGAACAAGCTCATAATATAAAATGGTAATTATTATGACAAAAAAAAAGTATATGTTGAATAATTTATAGTAATAGAATAAAAATCGAATAAATTTAATAAATAATTAGTATGATACATTTCAACATAAGTATACTTGTATATTCATCAAAATTTTCGTCCATAATTTTACATCACTGAAATTGTATCATTTTTCTAAACGTTCCTTAATATTTTTCTATACTAATATCCGATTCTTCTTGATATCAAATTAAGCGAAATTGAAGATCGTATTGCAAATGCCCTAAAAGACAAATCACTTTTTAATAGGAAAAAATGTAAAAATGTAATTTTTCATATTCACTTAGAAATTATCCCAGAATATGACCATATATATATATCTCGCAGTTAATAAACAAATGATCTAATCAAAATGATTTTTCACATAAATCCAAGTGATAGTTTCGATTTGTAGAGATACTTTAATAATTATAAACCTTAATGTATGTCTGTTTAAAAATGTATTGAAAATATTTAGTGAAATAGTCGTATTTATTTGGACACATACCTACCCTTATATATATATAAAATACAAGTACATTATAATAATATAATATTTCACGGATGTCCTGGTGAAGTATTTCACAGATATTTATATTATTATTTATTTATTAATTGTTCTTTTCTCAACATTGAATGTGGTTCACTTTAATGAATTAATCCGTGTACCATTAGTTCCCTGTTACTAATTATATATTATAATAGTAAATAATATGTAACGGTAAAACGTATTATACATCAAAATTCGATTTAAAATAATACTTTATTTTAAAAATGTTTGATTGTAATTTAGACAATTATGGAATAAAAAATAATACTCGAACATACCATGACTATAACTATATGAAGAGAAGAGGCTTTTCTAAAAAATGTTTCTAAGAATCTTTTAAGATGACTTTTTCAGAATTTTATTTATTATATTATATATTATTATAATATATTTTATTTTATTATATAGATTTATATACACACAAAATATAATTGCTTATATTGTTAAGTTATAAGAATTATATTTTGTTATAATTATAACGCTACAATGGTATAGACCAGCGTTTATAATTTGCGTATAGTTTTTTCTAACATCGTTTCATTGTGACTGAACAATTACAAATAGTTAAAATTTCATGAAGCCATAAATAATATAGTGGCAGTTAAAAGTACCTGCGGACTAATAGAGTACCAACTGCTTCTATTAATATGTGTAAAAAGTAATGACTAAACGATCAGATTGGAACGACTTTGACGGAAACACGAGTTATGATCGTACCCAGAGGTCTATGAAGAACTATAATAATAGCCGATGAAAATTCATTTTCAAAACTTTTCTTATACGCTAATAATACTTTTCGTCTGTTAAGCTGTAAACATTTCATATACAATTATGATTGTATTAATCCTATCATCGGCTTTTCGCGTAGATTATAATAATAATCCACAGCTATACACGTATTCCCCATATTACTGTTATTCATACTTCGTCGTGAGCAGCTAGTAGTTGGCTGATTTAATAGATTTAATATAGTACCTACGGGTAATCAAAGGATTTAATTGAAAATTATGACATCTAGTCATCGTGTGATACAAAATAAAAAATCACTTTGTTTTAATATCATGTATTGTATTTCTTAAACGGTAGATTTATGTTATGTATACTGACGGACAAAATAACGGTCGAAAAATAACGTTATTTTATTTATGATACCATTATTTTATGATACGTCAGCATTATTTCAGTTTTAATTACTGATGATGATCACTGATTAAAATCCTTGTTTAATATAGCTACTCGCATATAACGATATAATATATAATCAAATTCAAATAAATTTTAGTGTTAATTCGCAGTCATCTGACGGCCTCAATAGTCCATGTAATGATATTATTATTACAGACATTATAAGAAACAAGATTAGAGATATTAAGAATGTTCGGTTTTCAATTTTCAATTTTTACAATTTTGCACTACAAAAGTAAAGTATAGCGTCATAAAAACTTGAAAACATTACCAACTATTAATTATGTAGGTCGTGTTGTATACTCACGAGTTTCAAAATCAAGACAAGTAATTGATTCCGTTTAAAAATAATAAATCTCGTTTTATACTGATGAATGAATATCTAAATTAATTTTGCTTAGTTATTACTAGATACCATTATACCAAAACCGCTTTTAAAAAGGAGGGACGCGACTGCTGCAGCACTTTCTATGCAACGGAACCATGTAACATTTCTACACAGTAATACAAATATTAACCGTGTACGGTTTTCGTAAACATATTTTTAAAATCTGCGTTCAAAAATTAATAGAATAAGATTTTTTTTTCTACGATGTAATTTCGACTAATAAAACTGTGGTCGAAATAATAATGAAATAAGTGTTATAAACGACCTTGGTCCATACCTGCACGACATTGATGTTTAAAATATTATAATTTATACGTATTAAGAAACGATTTGAAAAATGATTGGAATTATTATACTGTTGATGTATATTCTACAGCGTGATTGGTTTGTGTCGAAATCATAATCGTCACTAGCGTGAAAAAACGTGTACTTATAAACGAACGGATCGAAAACAACGATTGCTGCGACGCTTTGCAAATCGTTTTCGAACATCCCAACAGTTCCCGTTCCGAGAGGTTATCGAATCGAATTTTACGTATTTCGCACGCCCACACACGTGTAGTATGCATTTACGGCGGACACACATTAATGTATTAATGCAACAAATCCGTTTGTACGGTCCCGCGGACGGACTGTGATCGGTCGTAATAGGAACAGACGTGGTATTCGTCGTCGCGGTAACAACATCAAAGGACGATGTGTCTCGGTGAGATGTACATATTTTCCGCCCCACCGTCCATCGACAGTGCGCTTGGCCGGAAGAAAAGTTGTTCCGCGTAACGCGGCGCGACCGAACGGTTTCCCGCCAACTTTATTGCAGCCGCCGCCCCGGGAGCTTTGTATCGTTGCCGATGGCTGCGCCACCGTCTTCGGGAGACGTGCACTCGGCCGTTTCGCCATCGCCGGCCGGCGCGCGGCGACCACCGTACGACCGCCGCTGCCACCGCCGCAGCGCACCGTGCTTCCGTGGCCGCGCGGCAGATCACCGGCGACCGGCGGACGATCGCGTACGTGTGCGAGTTGTGTTGTTGTTTTTGCGTACGCGTTTCGCGGCATCGCGTGAGCGTGTGTTGTGTGTGCGGCCGACGCCGCAGCCGCGTCGTTTTGTGTTCGACGTCGTGTGCCAAACCGTTTCTCCGACCGCGTATCCGGTAACCGCCGTTCGCGACCGGTCGTTGGTCATCACTTCATTCGTTGACCGAGTTTTCGTTTTCTCCGCGGTCGCTCGTTTTGATTTTTTTTTTTTTCGCCCACCGTTTTCCTGTTACGCCCGTCCGTCGCTGTTTTCATCACGAGAGTGCCTTGATTCCCCGGTAGTGATCGTTGTTGCTGCCCAAAGTCCGTATTCGTATCGATTCAAACGCTACACCACGTTTCCACGTGCCGGACAATGAAAACATCGGTGAGTTTACGGTATATTAATGTGTACTTACGTAGTAGTATTGTTGTCGATATAACACGAGAAACCGATGGTACGGAGCCGAAATTTTTTTTCGGAAGCCCAAGCAGGTGCCGCGTTTCGTTTACCGATCGAACACAAATCAAAACTGATCACAAACAATTTTATTTAGACCATGGTTTTCGACTCCCCCGCTATCCCGTTCTTTTTAAGCACCGTGCCATCCTGGTTACGCCACTGACGCGTGCTTTCACATAAATATTGTGTAGGTATAAGCAGATTTTGTAATATCGCGGGCGTTCGATTGGAATGCACACCAAGTGGCTAGTTTTTTATTTGTTTGTGCGAAATGTAGGTGTTTTATTATTATTTATATTTTTATTATTTTAATCCTCGATCGTTATCTGGAACGTTTATTTAAAACGGTATGATTTAACGGCCGATCCGGTAAATAGTTATGTTTACAAAACCTAAGACGCCCGCAAAAGAAACCGTTCATAATTTTTATGTTTTTGCTCTCTTGTAAAATTTAAAAAAATAATCACTCAATGCCTTTTGATAGAACGCCCCCACAGTATAAAATAAAAACATATATATTTATAATATAATTACTGTATTGTATATAGTACCTATATACATTTCCTTTTTATATGTTATATACATTTATAGGTTTGAGTTCAATGTGAATTTGACCATTACTTTTTTTGTATAAGTTGCCATTAACAGGGTCATTTAGAGACGAGGAAAGATACAATCCTACTAAAAAATAATTAAATCGTGTCGCGTAGTTGCGTAAATTATATTTACTCATCATGGTTGTCTTTTTAATGTTATTGGAAATTATCATCATTTGCTAGTTCAATTGGTTCCTTTTTTCCGAAACTGATTGCTATACATCATCAAAAATAGTTTTAGGTCTAAGTTTAAATCTGCCGAACATCTGTGAACATTGTACACATCGTATTCTTTTTATTATAGCTGGCATTAATGGTAATGATTTTAAACGAATTTAATGTCTAATCAAAATAAAGCTTAGATAATATCTAATAGTTGACGTGAATATTTTCAATTTAATTAGAAAAAAAAACAGAATACTTGCACATATCCAATATTTTGTTACAAAATTACATATTTCTGTTATTAAAACCACGATTTATACGTTTTTTAATCAATAACAGTGGCGTAATTGGGAAAAAATCTAGGGGGGCAATATAATATATTTATTATTACCAAAACCCTGTCACCCCTCCCCCTCACCAGTTAAAACATATTTTTATTGTATGTATTTTATACACTATATCTAATTGTTTGATTTTAGATGTCTTATAATTCATTTTATGGTTTAGATAAACATAAATTGTAGGTAGCAGGTACCAATATTGTTAAATAAAACACATAAGAATTCATAAATAAAAGGTGCTATTTATACTGTTAGATTATTTGGGGAGGCAAAATTATACCTTTATCTCTCAAAAAAATTTTAGAGAGGGCACTTCCCCCCCTGCCCCCCACAATTGCGCTACTGATCAATAATATTAATTATCTCATAGATAATCTTATTATCTCTATCTAGATTATCCCTTCTTTATCTCAACACAATTGCTATTAAACTAGACGAATCATAATTTTTATTAACTTTTATTAACGTACCTATAGTGTTTAAAGTTTTTAAATATTTATTATGCAAAATGTTTAGTTATCATTTACATAACTATACAATTTTATGTAACAAATAAGTTGAAGTCTTTCAAAAGATGCTATGGTAAAACAACAATACATAAAAGTTGTAGCTATGAATTTTCCAATGACATATATGTCCCAAATATTCATTAAAATATATGAGTATAAAATACAATTTTAAACTGAATTTGAATTTTGAAAGTGATTTAAGGCTATAACATTTCAGTTTTAATCCAGATATTGATTCTCTCGTGGGGGATAATCGAAAATCACATTAAATTATATAACTCTTGAATCTAATCTAGTCCAATGAAGTTTTTTTTTTTTTGAAAAATAAATATCTTTTAATGAATAAATTATAATAACTGACGTATGTGTACATAATACACGTATAACTATTGGTGGGTCTCAAAGATTTTCAACGAAAACGGTTTTCCGCATTACTAAAAAAGTTTCGAACCACTGTTATATATAGTACATAATACTATTTATATATATGTACTAATTTTATAATACATATTTTATAATTGTATTTATTAGCATACTTACACTTACTGCGATATTTCTGAAAATTTTTCGGTACTAAATTATTAACAGTAATGTTTTTTTTTAACTTTCAAATACTTATATTAAAATTTATATTCAGGCTCCTTTTTATAAGAAATTGAGCAACAAACTCACAGATAGTAATTTAAATTTTTTCGGTTGATAAATTCCCAATTGGTGTCAAAAATTTAAGACCATCCATATAGTATATTTACTATTGTCATATCTAATTTACCACTTATGTCACTAAATTTGATTATTGTATTCAATTATTTAAATGAAGTATATGAAATATAATAATTCTTTGTTATACTCATAATATGACACACCTAAAACTGGCAGTCTTTTAATATTTAAAAGAAATATTTTAACTGTTACTAACTAATTTATAAGTATCAATTATCAATTAAGATAAAAATAAAAACTTATTCAACTTTAAATCGGTAATTTATTTTATATTGAGGTTCAATTAAATTTATTATATGATTATATTTTATAATTCTTTTACCAAATAATCTTATTATCGAAGAAACAAAAAAAAATCACATAAAAAATGCAAAAAGTATTTACAATAAACACCGTTGGACTTTATCGATGGTCAACAGTTGTTAATGGTTTAGGGCAGCGTTTCTCAAACTGTGGGTCGCGACCCCCTAAGGGATCACGAGAAGTTTTTTTAATTATACAGATTGTAAGCACAAGCACATTTATCACATACACCTAATTATTAATTAAGTATTATATTATTATTATAATTATTATTATTATTATTATTATTATTATAAATTAATAAATAAGTAATAAAATAGAAAAAATTTGTTTTTTGAAATTATTTTTATTGATTCTATAAATGTGAAACTATGAAGTCGCGATAGATTTTTGGAAGAAAATTTGAGTCGTGGTCCTAAAAAGGTTGAGAACCACTGGTTTAGGGTACATATTTGTTTGGCCCCTTATTACGAGAGGGCTTTATAATTGGTATAGAAATACTTGTTCGACTTATAGGTATTTATTTTATTCAACCATATATTAACCAAATGGTTAACAATACTTTGAAAATGACAAAACTTTTGTAATTAAGTTTAGTAATAGATATTTTTTAAATAAATCACTTTTTAAGTTAAAAAGTTAAATAAAATATTGCATTATTCAAAATAATTTTACATCATGATATTTAATAATACTAAAAATAATAATACTTTACCATATTTCAGCAATGAGTTTTGTTGTAAACTGTTTAATTTAGATGATACAATTTTTATCATGTTTGCCTTTTAGGATGTAATTATAAGCTCCAGCATAATATCCTTCGCTAATTCTTATTTGTAGAACTTATTAGTACTGCATTTTTTCTAAAATTCTTAAAATGTGAAAAATGTATCATGTTTATAAGACTGTTACAACATAATATATATTTTATATTTATAAAATATACTTAAGTTTTAATAATTTTTATAGTTACTTAGATTACTTACTTTATATACATAAAAATATTTAACGCTTTTTTGTGGTAAATTTATTCTCTTTTGATTTTAGTAGGAAATTTCAAATGATATACTATGATATACCCTAAGAAGATTTCCTTTTTAATTTATAAGCTAAAAAAGCAGAAAACTAACTGGATATTGTTATGTAATATATAACAGATATTGAAATATAATATACCTATATATATATAATAATATAAAATATTATATATGTATATATATAGATGTCAGACACATTTTTTCAGTGTCGACTATACGAGTATATGTAATATATAATAGATATACTTGTATAGTCGACACTGAAAAAATGTGTTTGACTCAACTTTACAGTGGTAAGTATTTTTTGCGGCACATTCTAATTGCATCTATTAAAGATATTTTATACGAGTTGTGTCTTTAGTATTTGTACAACACGTCCTAAATTTTTTCATGTAAATTTTGTCTTTATTATTTCTTATCTCGCCCAAATTAGTTATCGCTTAATGCAATTTTGTATCCATTAATATAATATACTTGTTTATTTTTTCACTATACACTAATTTTCAGATTTTCATTAAAATATTATTATTTCAATATTATAATGAAAAATAATATCATTAATTATAATAACTATAGTGTTATAATAGTATTTACTATCGATGATATATCCAATTGCACGTTGAATGATCGAAGTGAATGTCCCAGTAAAACTGATACTATCACGTACAAAATTAATTTCCAACAATAAATAGTAAGGTATAATTTACTGATAGGGTATCGATAATCGAAATAATCTATGAGTTTATTATCAAATATTTATACTTTATTATGTTTATTATTCTTGTGGACGCAACTCGGTTATTGCAGCATACTTATATTTCCATTTTTAGGCGCGCAGTTCATATGCAGCGATTTTTTGATAAATGTTCTGAAATTAAAACATGAAAAAATTATTAATTTTTCATTTTGATATGTATTTTCAAGATGTATATTTAAATACATATAAATAAGTTTTATCGTATTTTATTGTATTGACTTATTATTATAACCCATTTGGACGAAACTTAAGCCCAAATACTTTTTATTTAATAAATTTGATTTATATATAATTAATACCTGTTTTTAAAAATAAATTTTCTAAAGTGAATGTTTTATTCTTAGAAATAAAACCCAGTGTGAATATACTGTATTTAATTAATAATTTAGATCAATACATCAGAGTTAAATATTTCAACAATTTTCTTGATTATTCATATTAATATATAATAAGCTAACTTTAATTTTTATGTACTCATTCTAAAAACTAAAACC